TGTGTGAAGTGAAATTTTGGAATATAAGTTTTTAAATCATGATTTTCAATATATTCAAACTTAAAGTGTCTACATTTACACTTGTAAACAAATTCTTGAAAAAAGTTGCTCTTCTTTTTTTAAAAAAAATATTTAATTTCATTTTTAATATATTTCCTTGGCTAAATATTGGGTTTCCATATTTCAATATCACACCCAACTAAATTTTCAAGTTTTACAAAATTTAAACTTTCACAGTTATGAACATATTTCCTTATATAAAAATATGCTTAAATCAAGTATTTGAATTTGCTATGAACTTTTGGGACTTAATTTTAAGTTTCAAAATATTTTTGCTCTCTAACCTTCTCACCAAAGTAGGAAGTTCCAAAACATGTAAAAAAAAGTTTTAAAACCTTTGACGAAATCCTAAAATAAAAGGAAATCAAGAACTTTCCATTTCAGGTTTTAAACGACTAGTTTGATTTTGTTTTAAGTGTGAGAGTATAAAGAGGAACTCTAAAAAAGCAGCAAAGAGGCATAAACCTTAGAGCTTCTTTTGTGGAAAATGATCAATCATCAAATCTTGTCCTTTGAGCTTAATCGTTAATTTTTGATAAACAATGTTTGTTACCCTTTCAATATATGAGTGAGAGAGTGATGGAGAATATCCTTGTTAGATCTAAAAAATCCTTTTAGTTGTTAGAATTAGGTTTAAGAGAGATTGTAATAAATGGACTAATTGTTGATGGTGGACTAATTGTTGATGGTGAATAGCATTGACATAATTATTATGCACAGTTGCCTCTATACTTACAAGTTGGAGGAGAATATTTGAATTCAAACTTAGCTTTCAAGTAAGAGGTTTGGGGAGTAAATTAAACACAAATTGTAATTGAATTACTATAAACCACTATATTTGATTTTTTCTCTTTTAATTTTTGTCATTTAGTTTACTTGTGTGTACTTGTATTTGTTTGTTCATTGTTTTAAATCCAAAAGTTACATAAGTTTTCTAAAACTTAATTCACCCCCTCTTGGTTGCCATCTCTTGAGTCAAAATCTTAGCCATTCATAATAAAAAAAAAATTAATTAAAATTTTATATAAATATTTTGTGTGAGAATTGTATCTATAAGTGGATACTAATTCCTTAACATGGTTATTTTCACACAATGTTTTTTTAAAATCATATAATTTTTTATTTGACTATTAAAAATAATTTATAATTGTAGTTGTTAATTGATAAAATATGTCATATTTATTATTTAATAGAACAAAATTAGTTTATAAAGTAACATTTTCTTTTTTTTTTCTTTTATGGATACAAACTAATATTTCTAAATATTACAACCAATAATTATTTTTAAAAGAAAAGGGATCCACTTACATTTTATTTATACAAAATCTTAATAATTTATTTTTATATTTTTAATAGTTGAGATTTA